TTTTACCGCGTATTTGACTGAAACTTATTTGTTATCGTCATGATTTGGGCTGATTGCCATATTCGGGCTTCGTACCAACTATTTGAACCCTCCGGGGATTTTTATCACTAATTCCTCACTATTTGACTTATTACTTGAACTCAGTCCTGTTGATATTTACTGTTTTACAAACTCAATCACTTTTATTCGTATTTGAACTTAAATGATATTTCTAAATGATGTTTTGGGCTGAGAACTACTGTTTTACTAATGCCCGAGGGGCTTGTGATGATTTTCGGATTGAGTGAGGCCGAGGGCCTGAGATACTTTTTATTGCCACGAGATGGCTTGATATTGCGCTTGGACCGTAAGGAGCCCCTCCGGAGTTTGCACCCCCACAATGAGCGCGGGTACCCATCATGATTTAAGAGTGAGCCCGAGGGGCTGATATTGTACCGAGAGTGAGCCTGAGGGGCTGATACTGTTCTGAGTGATTGTTACTGTGCTCGATGGGCGAATTTCTACTTGCTATTCACCCGCTAAATTACCTGTTTTACTTGGTTTAAAGGAACTTCATTTGATTTCTTCATGGATTTACTGCCTTAAGTGATTTTACTGCTTGATATAGAATTGCTTTGTGCCTTTACGTGTTTTCTTGCTTTCAGCCATTATTTATGATTATTACTCACTGAGTCGGAGTACTCACATTACTCCCTGCATCGTGTGTGCAGATTCAGGTATCGCAGAGTTCGCTCCTGAGTGCTGATCCTCCTAGTCCAGGCAGTGTTTTCGGAGACTACGAGGTAGTTGTTGGCGTCCGTAGCCCCCGTTCCTCCCTTATCTTACTATTTTCATGTTCTTGAACTTCTGTAACGGACTTTGTATCTAGTAGAATGGTATCCAGAACTATTAGCTGCTCATGACTTGTGACACCCCGGTTTGGGCTGTGTCGGGATGGTTTCTACTGCTGTTGTCGTTAATTCCGCAAATTATGGTTATTATATCACGTTTTAGAACTACTTATGGTATTTAACTGTTTAAAAGAGGTGGTTTGTTTTGGTCTGGCTGGCCTTGTCTTCACGAGAGGCGCCATCACGACCGGGTTCGGGGAATTGGGTCGTGACATCCGCTCTACGTTCAACTCGAGAGGAAAACAAATCTTTGAATGAGGAAAACAAATCCTTACATGATCGCTTGTCTACCTTAGAAGATGAGATAAAAGAAATGAGGAAAATAAAGGAATACTTTGCTGCTAAACAATCACATGTCTCGCCTTTGACATCGCACGTTTCAACTGAATGACCACTACTTTTGACTGCTGACCAAGTTAGTAACAATATACCCTGCTTTTTAAATTTTTTGTTGATTTATATAGTCATTTCTATCTTATTGCTATCTCTGTTGTCACTGAGGATTTACCTTATCCTAGCAAAATAGTACTAATTGCACTATTCAAATGGCTGGGTTAGTGATTGCTGGAACCCTTGCTAGATAGAAGTCGATATGCCTTCAGCATAAATACTGTGCCCATTTGAAGTAAAGCCTAGAACTTTTTTTCTCGAACAGTAAAAGAGCATTTTTATTGACACCAGCACTAAGTACTACTGAAATATCCAGTGTTGGAGCAGCTGTAACATGCGTTTGTAATTCCCCTTCCTTGTGATCATCAGAAGTACATAAGTCCTTTGTGATATGTAGTCGAGCAGCTACATTTTTTGAATTTTGCTGTTGTTTTACATTACTTTTATATCACGCGTACTCCCAAGTTCACCTTGAACCTTTCAATGGTTTGACATTGTGGCAGAAATAGCCTCAGATTACACTCATTTGCTTGCACACATGACTGATATGAAGATACTATCTATTCAATTTGTTATAATAAAGCATACAGAACATATTTTGTATGTATGTGTTCTAGCAAACATATATAATCTATGCCTTTAGTCCTACTTACTCTCAAGCAAGGTGGGTGCTAATCTGCTGATATGTATTAGCATTTGTGAGCTCTCACAAATATTAGTTCATTAGTGTACAAAAGACCAGCATTTGGTACTACTAGCTAGTAAAACTTCTACAACATGAAAAACATGTTTGTGATATACGCTCACTCACAATTACTCCTGGAAATTTGTAATACTTCACGATCATCTCCCTTGTCATGAAATCCAGTAGCACCTTTAAAATTTGCACCTTCAATAGCATAATCAGTAGCACCATTACTAACTAATTTTCTATATTCCTCTAGCCTTGTTGATATTGCTGGATACACCTGATGAATTTAGATTGCTTTTGGGGTAAGCGGTTTAACCATTACTATTGTAAATTAACATATATTGTTTTACCAATAGTTATTTATCGTCTTTTCAAAATTTTGTACTTACAGGTTTTGAAGATTGAAACTACAAGTCAAGATGCAAGTTTGGAAAATACACAAGCTCATTATTATTTTGCTATGTAAAACTTGATATCATATAGTCTAGCTCAGGATGTTAGCTAAGTTTTTTTGTTAAGGTGTCGAGAAAATACTGAAACTAACATCATGGGATGTTAACATTGCAATTAATAACTTTATTACCTTTTTATATCTAGATTTTTCTATAGCAATTTGATATTTATTGATGAAAATAACTTTTTTGTGACATTGAGCTTTAGGAATACTTGCGGTCAATAAGATCGAGATTAGAAATATGGTCGTTAAAGTTACTACAATTATTTTAAATAGGGACTAGTGTTGCTCGTCTTTAAAAGATAAGTTACGACCAGTTAAAGAGTGGTCGCTAAAATGGGTTAACCACCGAAAAATATATATTTTTCATAATATATTTATCGTCTAATAGGGAGGAGAAAAGTGGTCGCTAAAACTGTTTTACGACGAGAAAATATATAATTTTAATAATATATTAATTGTCTATTGGGACGAGATATGTAGTCTCTAAAGGTATTTAACGACTAGACCTTTTATCTGTCTCTAAAAACATTTAACGACCAGTTTTTTGGACCCGTCGTTATTGACCTTTAGCGGCGGAAGCTATTGCGACCGGTGGCGACCAGCTTTTTCCCGTCGCAATTAGTTTATTAGGACCAGATTTGGATCTTTAAGGACCATATTTCCCTTCCTTAAAGACCGTTTTTCTTGTAGTGAGAAGGGTGTTAGGACAAACTCGGAGAAATAAGGAAGGATAATCAGAAGTGAAATGGCCAAGATTTTTTGAAAAAACAAACCCTCCACCTATTTATAGGATTGGGTGGAGCTAGAATCGAAGCGTAAGGTCGCAAAATTGCACCAAAATCGAAGCGACAAGCCATCAATCCCCCATCTCGAAAACTTGCGCAATGATGACGCACGTGAAGATGATGTCATTTCCCAGTAAAATGCTTTACTTGGTATCTTGCTAAGCACGCTGACCGCCTACCATTGGCCAGGCCGTAACGCCTCGTAGGGTCAAATTTCTCCGTAAGAGCGCATGGTGTCCTCCCATCGAGGGCGCACCGAGTTGCAACCCCGACAAGCGGAGGGACTAGCTGTATGGGTCCAAATTTGAACAACCCCGACCGTTGATGAGATCCTCGCAGCTCGACATCTTGCAGAGGGCGACTTTGAGGCGAACAAGAGACTGTACGACCCTTGCAGTAGTGCAGACCCATTAAGGGACATTAGGAATATTCCCTATAACTTGTCTTTTAGAGCTCAGAAAGGTGGGGTTCCTTATATATATAACGTGAAACAACTTTGTAAGGGCTGGGACTTTGGCTAATCCATAATTCTTACTATATACTTGCTTACATAGAGGATTGAGAAGAATATTGTTAAAAGTCTTTTTGGTCTGGATAAGATAAAGAATTCGTATCATCCGTATTCCCCTTACCTATCTTTCGATCTAGAGATTATTATACTTAGCTAAGATTTACCCCTTCATTTTCTTTGATTGATTTGTTCAAAAAGATTCCGATATCTATTGAGTCAAACATATATGACACTGATATAGTTTAAAAAGATATTAGGTTTTTTCCCCTCTCCTTTGGTTCCTCTTTGACCTCTCTTTGTTGGAGTTAGTAGTGTCAAATCGGTAGATTGGGTCGATTTTAAGTGAGTCAAAACGGGTTGAGTCAATAATTGGGCAGATGAAATGACCCGTCCAAAAGTTATTTGAGGTAAGATGGACTGAGTTAAGATGAGCTAAAATTTGGGTCATAGCCCTACCCGCCCAACTCTTATCAAACTTTACCTTTTTATGGTCTTATATAATTGTAATAGCCCATAAATTTCAAACAAGGACATATGAGTCATTTAACAAAAAAAGGAAAAAGATATAAAAAAGGGGCCGTAGCCCACCAGATTACAATATGGTAAAAAGGTAAAAGCAAAGAAAGGGATTAAGGGAAGGGGAAGGACTCATGGCAAACACAAAAGAAAAAAAAGATGGCTTTGGATAGTAGAAGGATTCTAATACAGGGAAAACTCACATGCAACAATAAGTTAAGGGACCTGGTGAAAAGCTTGGCAGCTACTTTTGAGAACAAAAGAAAACGTGAGATTTGCACTTTTCTTCCGTTGAAGAGCACCAGGATCATTCAACGAAGAGAAACTAACTAAATACAAAAGTAGGTAAATTTTTGAACTTAATTTATAGATTTGATTCATAAATTCCATGGCTATAGAGTTGGGGTTAAGAATTAGTTGAAGAACTAATATTAATGAAATAATCCAGTTCATGGAATTTTTATGAATTGGTACCATAGGTTTGGGGTTATAAACTTACATAGTCTGTCTATACTAAAACAGAAAACAAAAAAGAAGAAGGGATATTCCTCCAAAAACCTTTCCGTTTCGTTACTGATTGGTAATCAAATATGATTGCTACTAATATTGGTGATATTGGAAAAAAAATTTACGATGTAATTTTGATAGCATTGAGTTGGGATACTGAAATGGGTCTTAATATTCCAAGTAGAATAAGAGGGATTTGTTGGATTATTATAATTCGGCAAATTAAGAGCCAAATATGAAACTCTTAGGGTTGGGCATTCTAAATTAGCTACGAATTAACCGAAATATGCAAATTAACATGAGATCGATATCATGTAATTATAGATTGATTGGAGGAAGTTGTACGAATTGCTCGAGATGAAGCATTTGGTATTTCGGCACGAGTACTATAAGTAATAATCTTACCACAATTTGTGTTTTCATAACTTGCATGATTTACACATGATTTTTAATATGAATATATTACCAATTATTTTGAGTTGCATGTGGGACAAGTCTTTTACTCTATATGATACCGAAATAGTTATTTGAGATGATTACCGTTGTTTTAAATATTTTTGCTGTCACTAGATATGTTTTACCGTTACTTGAAATTACTGTTATCTAAATAAAATTACATGATTTTATAAGAACCGAAATGCCCTATATTGTTTTAAAATATTTTCCTATGAGTATATACGGATATAGAGACAAGTATAAATGAGAGTAGACTTTGAAGGATCCCGTAGCTAAAGGCGGTGTTCGTTAGACCTGGTGCACCTTGTATTTATCGATTACAGAGTACAGTTATATCTCTCGCTAGTGGGAAGGTATAAATAGCATACCGTTACCGATTCCCTCAAGTAGGGACTACCGTTATATTTGACTTCTTTCGAAAAAGTTCACAGTTATACCGATTACATGATCCGTTCATTGAAACCTTCCAAATTTGAATATTGATATTATACAGTGGTCAGCTTACTACTGAATTGTTAATTGTATTATACTACAAGAAAAACATGATGAGACTGAAAATTATTTATTGTTTCTGAAAGGGCACTTTTATGTTATTTTCTGTTTGATATACTAGCATGTTTTCTGACTTGTCCCCAATAAAAATGGTTGTGGTTAAGTGTTATTACTCACTGAGCTATCGACTCATTTTCCGCTATTTTTTTTACAGAGACAGCAGTTGACGCGGGCGAAGATTTCATAAATTAGAGTGCACAGGTTGATCGTTCTTGGTGAGCCTCGCACTTGTTCGCGTGGGCGGAGATTTTTATCAATTGTTATGGTCTTTTGTTTGAAGTCTTAGAGTCTCTCCATGATCATTCCTTTAGTGTCTTGAGTATTCTTAATTATTATAGACTTATGTTGAGTATCGCTCATTCTTATCAAATTTGGATATAAAGTAATATTTCTAGTTGTTAGTGGGTGGACTAGTAAAGGTAGATATTTATTTTGGTTAATTGATATAGTCATTGTCATTTGATTGCTATTAGGATGTTTGGTTGCAGATTTGAGACATGAAAAGTTTTGGGACAGTAAAAAAATAGGAAAAACTCTGTCCGATTTTTTGTAAAATACGGATGAGGCTTACTTGGGGGCACTTGCTTCTAAGCACCAGTCACGATCCTAAATTGGGTCGTGACAAAGTTGGTATCAAAGCTTAGGCTTTAAGTCCCGAGTCATGGAGCAATGTTTAGTAGAGTCTTGTTCATGGGTATGTAGAAGCCCATACTTATGATCTTGAGGCTACTCAACATCTAATAAGGTTTTCCTTTCTCTCATTCTTTGATCGTGCACTGAGATAACTTGAGATTTACTTTGGAATATTTCTTTCGCAGATGGCTAGGACACGCACACCCTCATCTGCTGGACATGGTGCTGGACGTGGTGCTACTCGGGTGGTGGTCAAGTTGGGGTTCATCAAACTAGAAGACAGACTGCTCCTCAACCTGGAGTTGGAAACATGGGTCAACCCCAAGCTGCTATGCCAGATCAAGTGCAAGGGCAGGGAGTTCAGGACGCTCCACCACCAGTGCCAACTATTGTACCTACTGTTGCCTTACATGCAGACGCAATGGCAAGGTTATTGAATGTGTTGGAGGCATTGATGCCTACTCAGGGAGGAAGTTCAGCTCCTCAGGCTACTTTGCAGACACAAGCACCTGCACAGACTCAGACTTTCGGAAATAAGGAAGTATCCCTACAAGAGTTTTTGAAATTGAAATCACCAAAATTCATAGGTTCCGATAGTTCAGCAGATCCTCAAAGTTTCTTGGATGGGACACTCAAGGCATTACGTGCTCTTGGATATTCTAGTGAGAGAGCCGCGGACCTCGCAACATACAAACTAGAGGATATGGCCAACACATGGTATGAAACTGTATTGCTAGGAAGGCCAGCAGGAGCAACACCAGTGACATGGGACGAGTTCACTAAGTTGTTCAAGAATCATTTTCTCCCAGACAGCCTGATGCAAAAATATGCTAGAGACTTTGAGAGATTGGTTCAGACTCCAGATATAGATGTGTCAACATATAACACTAAGTTTTTTAAGCTGGCTATATATGTTCCTTACTTAGTGCCTACCGATGAAGCTCGAGTTCAGAGGTTTGTTGATGGATTGGTTGGTCGTCTATACACTGCAGTAGCCCACAGATGAAGACTTTATCCTACTCTAATGTAGTCGACCTTGCTAGAAAGATTGAAAACAAGGGACGTGATGAGCGTGCAACTGGTGATTTACGTAAGAAGGCCAAGACAGGAGGGGCTTTCAGTGGCGGTTTTACTGAAAATAGAAGAGCAAGAAATCAGGGACAACAACAGGTTCTCAGA